GGCATGTACTTTAGTACCATGTAGACCCTCATTTAATTTGGTTTATCCAATTACTGACTTTCTTGGTCTGGCTATGCCTCAGTTTTGCTAACTATAAGATTAGAGAAAGATTAGAGAAGTGTCCTTCCTCATGTCTTCAGGAGCTATTTTGTTGTTGTTGCTTGTTTTTGTTTTTTGTTTGTTTTTGTTTTTTTGAGACAGGGTTTCTCTGTGTAGCTTTGCGCCTTTCCTGGATCTCCCTCTGTAGACCAGACTGGCCTGGAACTCACAAAGATCTGCCTGCCTCTGCCTCCCTGGGATTAAGGGTGTGTGCCACCACTGCCTCGCTGTTTTTGGTTTTGGTTAAAGAAATTTTGTCAGTTATTGGTGATGTTTGCTTCTTGGTTCCATTTTTTTTTAATACTCTTTCAACATGTTACCCTAAGTAGTGGTTATTATTGATCATGAGGTGTGCTTTTTGTATGCAACCAAAAGTGTGCTACTCTATAAGATGAAACTCATTCCTGACAGCATTATCAGGTGAAGAACCTATAGCAAGACAGGTCACAGGCCCTAGGGGAACCTTTCACTACTGACCTGCTATATGGACGTAGCATTAAACCAACTTCTAATGACCTATCATTGTACCCACAGATCAGTGCATCTCACATACTGCACCTGAGAAGCCTCTACCTGCAGATAGCGATTCACAGAGTGACCTACAGCTGGCCACAGTACAGAAAATAAGAGACTGTATAATGCTCAGCCCTAATGGGACATATATACTTCACCCCTCCTCCCAAGGCTCAGAAATCATTTTTGAAGAAAGGAGAGAAAGAACATAATAGCCAGAGGTGGTAGATGCCTACAAGAAAACATCATCTTCTGGACACAGAAGAGACTCTGTGCACACATGAACCCATAAGGATTTCACAGCATGCACAAGGCCTGTGCAAGCCCAAGCCAGATAAAATCATATCATAGAGAGGGGAGCTGGGCATACTACTCTACCCCAAGCCAAATAGTTATTGGCAACTGATAGCTTCTGGGACAGGAAGAGACCGTTTTCTCTAAGAGAGTGTGCTCTGCTTAGTTGACCACATTCCAATAGAAGACCACACATCAAAGAACATTTGAACAGCAAAAGTTGTTTTTGAAGGTTTACAAAAGAGACAGAGAGTGGTTCACAGATTTGGGTGGGTAGGGAAGAGTGGATGCATCAGGGAAGAGAAGGGAGAGGAGAACGAACGTGATTAAGACAGGTATGACATTCTCAAAGAACTAACCAAAATAAATGTTAAAAAAATTAGAAGAATCAGATTCATCTTCTAGTCTGACCTTTAGCACAAGTCATGGCTCCTCTCCATAGTGAACACTACTAAAGCCTCAGAATGCTTCCAATCTGAAGCTGTTCAGTGGCAACTGCATGAACTAAAGCTGTTTGTGAGGAAGAGACAGAAAAATGCCATTGGTGACACTGGAGATATCATTCTTTAAAACCTTACACAGAGTGAAACCACTGAGGAACTTGTTCCTAGAGAAGGCAGCTGTGAACATGTGAAAGGAGTGTGTACAGGGCACATAGGGCACCTGTTGAACTGGTCCACTGTGATAACATTTCCAAAGTCTCCACTGCAGGTCTGCCAGCCGACCCACTCTGCTGGTGTTTCATTCCAAAAGTTACAGAAGGCAGCATGATTTTGCAGGTGGTATTAGAAACTGGTGTGGGCTCTTCAGCTCTCTCCTCTTCACATGGCTTTTCTTCTGGCTTAGCAAAATGTCACCGGATGACAGCCTAGCATGTCTACAAAATATTCCCAGCCCACAGCAGCACATGTGCCATCAGCTGAACCACTCTGTGTGAACCAATCCATTCTGTTGCACATGAATCTTAAACATTTGATGTCTGGCTAAACACCCCCCTCCTTTTATTCCCTAGCCCTATGTATCTACTCTCCATTAGTTCCACCTTCATACTCCTCCTCTTCTTTTTTTCATTTGCAATGGGACCACTTGCCGTCTAGTTTAGCCTCAAACTCAGCTGACCTTGAATGTCTGCCCCCCGTGCTTCTATCCCCTTCTTGTAAGAATTTCAGGTGCATACCAGAACTCCTGGTTGAAGTGGTGCTGGGAATTGAGCCCAGAACCATCATCAGCTCATCAGGCAAGCACTTTAACCAACCGAACCACAGTCCTTCCCATCTACTTTATTCCCAAGAGTCAGGCAACTACTCCCTCATTCCTCCAGCACTGCTGAGTTGTTACCCAGTCTGCACTAGGTTTCGGACACACAGTAATGAACAAAACAGACACACTCATATCCTCTTGCACTTACAATTTAGGAGGAGAAAAAGGAATTATCCAAGATAATAGGGGGGAAAAAACCTACAAAAACTTTTTAAAAACCATTGAGGGGGCTATAAAGGTATTTGGTAGCTCAGGAATCATGAGAAGGGTTCCTTCAGGGAATGACTCTTAGGGACAGAATGTTTGGTTTCCCTTTATGAGCAACAGTATATTTTGCTCCTGAAAGAGTACCCTGTGCATTAATACATGTATAAAATTCTCTGGTGTGTTTTAACAATCATCATTTATGAAACATTTTCTGTTGTCTATATATGCCAATTGAAATAATGTCATCAGTTCAATCTTTTTATATAAAAAATGATTTATTTATCATTATTTTATGCATGTAAGTTGCATCTGCATATACCATGTGTGTGCCTGGTGCCTGAGGAAGAAGGTACCTTGGATTGTGAGTCATAGATTGTTGTAAGCAGCATGTGGGTACTGAGAGAACTGAACCAGGTCTTCTTCGAGAGCAGCCAGTGCTTTTAACTGCTAAGCCATCTCTCCAGCACCATCATCAACTCAACTTTATGATTATTCCTTTATTTAGTTTGTACTATGAAGTCTGTATCTTAAAGGAAATAATAATTGTGCCTTTTTTTTCTTATAAGTCTTTTTGAGACAGGGTCTCCAGACACATAGCCCAGGGAGGCCTCCAACTTACCACATAAGATACTGGCCTTGAATCTCAATCCCTCTCCTTGAGCTTTCCAAGGACTATAGGCAAAGACCTGGCTAATAATTACAACTTTGCTCTACAAGAAGAAACAACGTGTTCTATGTTTTCTATTGTCTAATTCCTTCAAAATGTTCAAATGTCATTATTCCCACTGTATTAGTTCCTTTTCTCATTCTGGGACAGAATTCTTGATAAAAAGAGTCTTAAGGAAGGAAGGGTATATCTTGGATCATTGCTGCAGGTAGACAGGTCACCACTTCAGGGGAGGCGTGGAAGAAGAAATGTCAGGCAGCTTGTGCTGACATCAGAAAACAGAGAGGAAGGCAGGAGTTCATCTGGCTTTTTCCTCTCTTGTTTTTTATTGAGTCTGGGGTATCCATGTATGGAACACACATACCTACATTCATGTTGGCTTTTCCTCTCTCAGTTAAATCTCTCCTCAAGCCTTCACAGATACACCTAGCACTGTGTTGCCTAGGCAATTCTAAATCCAGTCAAGCTGACAGTGGAGATTCCCCATCATGCTCATGTTGTAGATTCAGGAATTAAGATTCAGAGAAGATATCATGTAAGTCTTCAACTAGCTAGAATGCTTAGGTCAGCAGAGAAGATATCTCATAAACCCATAGTGTTCAACTAGCTAGAATGCTTAGGTCAGCACCAATGTCTGTAGCTCACAGCCTATGCAATTTTTATCTGGTCACACCTCAGTTTCCTTCCCTGTAAAGTGGGGACAGCATTTACCTTGTGAAACAAACATCACAGATGTCCATCTAATCCTGAATGAAATACAAAGGTCGTAGTTCTTGTCCACTTTATAGTCTCAGAATAAAGAGGAGACAAACACATAAAGGAGACTACAACTGCCCAGCAGTGCCTTGCGCTGCTCTCTGAATGTGTTCCTGGGAAGCCAGGGTCAGCGGGAAAGGAGGCACATGCTGGTTCGCTTTGTCATCTTAGTACTGGGCATTCATGTGAATGAGTGAACCCTTGAATAATTAATTCTACCTTTGACTCTAACTTGTTATAACCTTTCGCAAAGCCTTAGTATCTCTAGGACTCAGTTTTCAAATCAATCAACAAGTAAGTAATTCTGTGTCCTGGGGAGTCCGGCATAGCACATGCAACAATAGAAACACATAACTAGCATGAGCAAATAGCATGTGGCCTAAAAACACTGCAAATACCAGATGGTACTAGCATTGAGAGATCTTTTGGCAATTTCATTTTGCTTAGGTGTCATGTAATCTGGACCTATATGTTCCTTCTCAAATGGTTTAATATTTGTACTGCACTGAGTCATTTTTCTACATCTTCAATTATTTCTCATGCAGGCAGATTTCAAATAGTTAGTCATGTGACCATGGGGCTCTTTCAGGATGTCACCAGTTTAGTGTCAGCTCGCAGAGCCCATGTGCATGGGGGCTACACTGACAGTTGGCCTCAAACACATGGTCTGTGGCATCCAGAAAGGTCTGGGCTAGTACAGTCCCAAGGTTCCCTTGATGCTGTGGGATGTCTTTCTGTACGCTGTGAATATATGCTGTTCCCATTGGTTAGTAAATAAAGCTGCGTTGGCCTATGGCAGGGCAGGATGGAGCCAGCTGGGAAAATCCAAGAGAGATAATGAGAGAAGAGAAGGGAGAGTGGGAGAAGACGCTGAACTGCCATCCAAGAAGCAACCTGCAATGGGACACAGGTAAAGCCATGGCCACGTGGCAAAATATAGATGAATAGAAATGGGTTAAGATTAAAGCTAGCTAGCAAAAAGCCTGCCATAGGCCAAACAGTTGGTAATTAATATTAACCTCTGAGTGATTGTTTTACAAGCAGCTGCAGGACCGTGGGGCCAGGTGGGACCGGAGAAATTTCCAACTACACCTTGATGTCTCAAGGAGGCAAAAATCACTCCCCTGATTCAGACACATTTATGCAGTGCTCATCTAGAGAACACATTTATGAATCTATTACCTGGTCATAACAGAAGGCCCACCTGTGACTGTGTAGTTCTGTCCCTTGCCTGTGTAGACCAGCCTCCCATCCACATATAAGGAGTACCGAGTAATAATCCCATTTGCTTGTTTGGGTGGACGCCAGGATAATGATAAGGAATCAGGAAAGGACAAGGCCACTGGTGTCTGAACTTCTTGAGGTGCTGTGGGAAAATAAAATAGTCTAATTTTAGTTTACTTTTCTAAGTAAAACTTTTCAGACCCAAACCAATAAATCAAGGGCTAAAACTGTAGTCCCATGCATGGAGGTGTTTCTGACTCGCAGGCAGCTTGTCAGTAATTGCTTTAGGAACAGCGCTAAATAACTGTCCTGAATTCCTGAGAATTTGCATCTGTGATGGATGGGGAGTCCTTACTCTAGTTCCCTTGACTGACGTTTGTGTTACTTCATCAAAAGTATTGTTAACCCATCATGTCCTCGTGGGGCTGAACCTGTTAAAGCAGATGAAACAATGTGCGCTGGCCTGGCAGTGCACAGGATTTGAAATGAGCAACATGGTGAGTGTTTCCTAACTGGGATGTTCTAAAAACTGTCCACCTACAGGAATGGCCAGAACATGGACAGTTGAATCAATTGTATACTGAAACCACACTGTAGTTGTTGAAAAAAAGCTTATTTTCACACTAGCCAATAAATTGAAATCACAGAAAAAAAAAGAGCAAAACTAAAACTATCCAGAAACAGAAATATCATTCTGTATATTAGACATGGCTCCTTGGAAAAGAGATTTGGGGATTATACACATCATGACAAGGGGACTGAGGCAGATGAACGGACAATTGCTTGGTAAAATGGTTGTGAAATAGGTGTGAGGGGTACCAGGCAAAGTCTAGACAAGAGGGTGGAGAGGAAGCAACATGAACGTTCTTAGATGAAGGTTGGCAGAAATGAATCCAAATCAGGATGACAATGGTGTGCCCCAGAAGACACAAGCTCACACTGAGAGAAACAACACAACGCCATTTCAGTAGATTAGATTGGAATGGTGTTGAGAAGGGATGATGATGTTTCCCTGACTGCCCAGATGAGGGAGTGAGCTTTGGTCCATAGCAGGCATAAAATAGAGAATCAAGGGTCTCAAGAGGGATTTTACAAAATCCTGTATCTCATCACCATGTCATCATACTGGCTTCTGCCTGCCTTCTCTCTCTCTGCGTGGTTCTCTTTTTAACACATTTCCTATGCAAATAGTGTTTGCAAAAAGATGTAGAAGGTGAAAGGGGCACAAAGGAGGTTTTAGGAAAGCATGTATACTAGGAGGGAGGAAGAGAGAGAGAGGGAAGAGAGGGAGGGAGGGGAGAAGAAAGAGAGAAAGAGAGGGAGGGAGGAAGAGGGAGATGGAGGGAGGGAGAGAGAGATAGAGAAAGGGAGAGCGGGAGGGAAGGAAGGAAAGAGATAGAGATAGAGGCAGAGAGAGAGAGAGAGAGAGAGAGAGAGAGAGAGAGAGAGAGAGAGAGAGAGAGAGACCAAGCAAGCATGTGTTGCTGGCTGACTTTTGCTGTAAAGAGAAGGCTTTCAAATCTAAATAACTTTCCTACTAGACAGCTCACAGGAGAAAGAAATACAAAGTGACCGCTCTTTTAGCATTCTGAGAGCTGGTATTTCCTAAAGAGATGTGTTTGGAGTCCCGGGATGTTTTCTCTTCCCCACTGCCATCCTAATGTATGTTTTCTGAAACATTAATTTAGACCAACCATTTGCACATCCCAGGTACAACAGAAGTGAGCCTCAAGTAGGAAGGCACAAGTGATGGATCGTGCCTCAACTGGCGTCTGGAGGCTCTGCACTCCTGGAATCATTGTTGCCCATGCTGGTGTTTAGCAGTTAAAAGAGACCATGGAAATCAACCGTTTGATTCTCAATTTCATACTGTGCCATACAATCAATTCTTTTTAGTCAGACTGTCTCTAGATTTACTTCTGAGCCATAGTAAAATGAGGAAGCTTTCATTAATCTTTCAGATGCTTCATATTAATGACAAGGCTCTTGCATGAACAATGTAACAGCAATTAAAAAGCCCATTAATCTGCATTACAGCTATTAAAGATGCATGTCATTAAAGGCTATGGAGTTTGATTCATTTTCGCACCCCCCCAAAAAATGGGAGCAATTATGGCCTGGCAATGCACTTTGTCATCAAATTAGGTCGGGGTTTTCCAGCAAATGGCCTCGCAGCATTTAGCTCTTCTCCTATTTTATTATTCATGACTGAAATGTGGAAGTCAAGACCTTTGAAATTACTTTACCTTCTTGTGGAGTAGAGATGCTCAAAGCATGTGAGCTCTCGGTACAGCCCGCCTGAGAACAAGCAGTCAGAGTTACGGCATAGCTCTGGAAGGGACGCAGTCCTGCCAGTACTCCTAAGATAAAAGGGGGACACAAAAGGTTTGTAAGTTTGCTGTAGTGTCTACAAAGAACAAGGCACAGAGAGATACAGTGACAGAGAGGTGCACACAATCCATAGCTTTCATTTGCTTTCTCACGTAACCAGTGAGAAAACATTCGCTGAGTATAGAAGAGGGTAACTCATGAACAAAAGCACGACACCCACTCTGCCATGACAGCACTAAAAAGTATTTGATGCTCATGATGCAGAGCGCCCATACTTGTATAATGTGTGGGACTTCATTACAGGGCCTGGACCTCCCACAGAAACACTAACCATTTAATTTGCTTGAACCTGGCATTTTTCAAACCTTTTAACTAAGGAGCCCTCGTGCCGTGTTTGTGAACACACTTTAGAAAATGCTCCTCCCAAGAGGGGCTCCATTATTTCCTTGGTAGGATACACCGAGACAAACTGTTTGTGTGGTAAACAAGAAGTATGCAAATTCACACAATGGAACAATTAGCAAATTGGATAATTATGCTTTTGTACTTCTACTTGTGAAATTATTAGTTTATTTAATTAAGACACCTGTCTCAAATGGAAGCATCACATAGGGAGGTATTGAATTAACCAGGCTTCACGGGAGACATGTAAGATTTGTTCAGCAATTGAAAGTACCCAGACATGAAAACATCTTTTGCCTACTGATGTCCATAGCCAAAGAGAGACTCTTTAATTCATAGGACATATAATGTAAGCATTTTCTCTGGTTTTCTCCCACTGAACAAGCTTTGATCAGAATGGTAGAGTGTTATCATTCTTACAAAAAAGGTAGTCCACTCGTTATGTCCCTCATTGATTAAGCTTTCAGCAACCCAAAGAACACATTACTGTCTCAAGGTAGCAATACTGGTGAGAGATTTCACCCTTTAAGCACTTTATTATTTGTATTTATACATTCATGTGTGTGTGTACATGTGTGCATGTGGTTTGTGTGCATGTGTGTTTGTGTATATGTGTGTGCATGTGTGTATATTGTGTGCACATGTATGTGTGCTTGTGAAGGTCAGCGGTCTTAGCTGTTCTCACCTTGATTTTTGAAAAAAAGGTTTCTCATTTATCTGAACTTGCCAATTAGGTTGGACTACCTGGCCAAGGACCCTCAACAACCCCCCCCCCCCCCCCCCTCCCTCCCCCCCCCGTCTCAGCCTCCCCAGCTCGGGATTACAAATGTGTGCCACTGCTGAGTTACGTCCTCAGCCTGAGTCAAGTACAAATGTCAACAGATGTGTCCATCCTCCCCACAGAGGATTTAGTGACTGGAAAGAATGAAAAGAAGGGATGAGCAAAGACAGTAAGCTGTGGTTTGCTCTCACTTCTCATCCTTACCCATGATCCTTAGTGTTCTCCTTCCGTCTTCACCTCAGTGGCTACACAGGTATCTCCCTACAGTGCGTCTACTGCAAAATACTCAACCACCTGGCACCCTCTTCGCAGTCTGTGGCCAAAGGCAGCAAGCTAGAGTGCGCACACACGTGCATGCCACGCACGCACGCACGCACGCACGCACGCACGCACGCACGCACGCTGTGTTACATGCTGGGGTCTTCCTAATTTTGAAACTACTCTGTAGCACAGCCTACGCTTTCCCTCTCTCTTTCACACCCGCCACTGGGACTGCCATTTCCTCTTGCATATCTCAGTATCCATGATCCCTGTTCTGAGTTCTGTATTTTCAAGAAGTTGCCTCTCAATCCATCCATGCCAACACACTCTTACATTCATCCGTATCATGCAGCAAGGAGCCGGAGGGTTGCTCAGGTCGGGATGCCTGGGCATGAAGCTGCATGGGCCTAAGAGAGCTGCTCAGACTTCTGTGCCTTCATCTTCACAAATCTACACAGATAATAATCTCTGTCTTGAAGAAGAGGCCCCAAGAGTGGTGTGTGTGGCGGGACGGACGGCGTGGTATGTACCTCACACATTTACTATCACAATTTAACACTCCAGGCACGTAGCACCTCGAGCACACACACAGCTATTTGCACAGACAATGCTAGTGCAGATGGTTTTCTTCTAACTCACACTGTGGCTGCAGCTCACCTCCTGCCTCCATCACCTCTGAAGGAGTTTAATCTTTCAAGGATGAGTCATTGTCTCTTAAATCCCAAACCAAGCAAGCCAGCTGTAGTCACTCCTGCACTTACTGGTCATGGGCTCCCTCTGTGGCCCTGGTGCCACTGGAGTGCCCTGAGCTGTTTGTTTAACTTCGGACAGCTTGTCTCTTTCCTGGATTCACTCCGAATATTCCCAGAGTCCTTTAAGGGCCTGCTGTTGTGCTGGACTGGCTCTTCATGCCTCTTTTTCTTTTTCTTTTTGACCTGGTCTATGAGGCCTCATCCTGGAGAGAGCCTCTGACTCTGAAAACTTCTCATCACCCCAGTGTTCTGATGCTGCAGGGTGAGCATCCTCACATGGCATCCCATGGGCATGTCCCGCTCAATCTGCCTCAATCCGCTGATAACACGGATACATTTTTCTTTTTCTTTGCCGTGTTTGGGGTGGGACTCGGGATGTAAGCATACCATGCAACTGTTGTTTCACAGAACTACACCTCTAAGTCTTTATTTCCTTATTTCTCAAAGGTTTATGTTTCTTTTAAATTGTGTTTCCGCATGCATTTCTGCACGGGGATATGTTCACAAGTGTGCAGGTGCCTGTGGAGGCCAGATGAAGGGGTCTGATCCTTCGAGGATGGAGTTGTAGGCTGTTGTGAGCCACACCCACCATGGGTTCTGGGAACTGAACTAAGCAAGAGCTGTGTATGGCCTTAACCACTGATCCATCTTTCCAGCCCTGGGTTTTCATAGTTTATAGAGTGTGTGCATAATAGTTTATGCATGTTCACATGTTTGTGCATGGTGTGTGAGTGTGTGTGGAAGCCAGACGTTGATGTGAGGCAGTTTAGTCGACCATTTTTAACCTAATCTATGGAAACAGGCTATCTTACTTGAACCGTAGCTTGCTGACTCAGCTAGTCTAGTTAACCAGGCTGCCCTTCAAGATCTCATTCCCACATCTTGACCACTGAGATTCCACACAGGTGGGCTGCTGTACCCACCTGACATTTACCTGGGTGCTAGAGATCTGAACTCAGGTCCTCATACTCATGTGGCAAGCAGCTCTTTACCACTGAGCCATCTCTCCATTTCCCTAGCTCCTGTTTCCCACTTCTTAGTACCTATATTACAATATACAAATCCTAGTCTCAAAATGAAAACATCATCATAAAATATGTCATGGCATTTCTAGCTTTACCACATTTTTGACTCATCCTTGCTTTTGGGAAGTGCAACTCCACTCTGAGTGTCTGCAAGGCATAACTTACATGGATGAATTGGTATACTACCAAACCAATAGGAAGTGGGTCAGGCACTAGAGAATGAAACATATTGCCAACATGAGCAAGGTACACTGGGATACAAAGCAACATATGCATCACATAAATCATGTAACATGTGACAAAAGCGGTCTCTCACAGATGAACATCATTAGTGGAGACATAGGGACATTGACTCAGAGAAGACATAAGGTTGCATCCTGGCTGGTAATATAAAACCCTTCATGGGAATATCTTTTAGGAATTAAGGTACCATCATCACGGGGAACTGCAGATTCTTTGCCTTATGCAAGGATATATTGAGATACTGTCTCCTTAGATCATAACTGAAGTACCGTGGTGGAACTTGAGACATTCTATCAGCTTTTCAGGAAAGTTTCACATAGTCAGGGAGGATCACATGAAACCTGACCACAGAGGGAGCATTAGTGTTTTGCTAGGCTTAGCTTATTTCCATTTGATACGTCTCTTTGCATATATGTTGTTCCAGTTCCATCCTGTTGCTGTGACAAACACTGTGACCAAAAGTTTGTCAGGGAAGAATGATTTATTTCAACTTGCAGGTCACGGTCTGTCACTGACTGCAGTCAGGGCAGGAACTCAAAGCATAAACCATGAAGAAAGCAAGCTGCGTGATGGGTAGGCAGACTCAAGATTACCTTACACAGCCCACACCACCATGGCCACCACTCTGCCCCTGCCCAGGGCATGGTGCTGCCCACAGTGGGCTGGATCCTCCCACATCAATTAGCAACTAAGATAGTCCACATCAGACATGCTCACCGGCCAAACCAATTCAGGCAATCCCTCCATCAAGGCTTTCCTTTCAGATGACTCAAAGCTGAGTCCAGTTGACAATTAAAGCTAAGCAGAACATACATGGGTCATGAGATTCCTACAGCAAGCCTCCTCTTTACTTAAGGGCCTCATCACACAGCAGTAAAGGTTCCTTAGAGTGTGCAGGCATGAGAATTTAGAAGACACACTCTACTCCAGGCTTACAGGAGGCCTGTTTAATCAAAGAAAAAAAAATAAAGGATAGTCATTTTTAACCTCTCAGCAAAATGCTTTCTCCAGCTCTATGCTTTGCCAGAGAGGTTTACCAAATTGTATTATATTTCCTAGAAAAGTTTGGAGACCTTAAAGGACAGTGAGGAGAAAGTAGATCATTCCTCAGCCCATTTATCAAAGCACACATGCTTCCTGTTTCAAGCAGGTAAGACAATAATAACTACTAAGAATGGAAGCTCCAAAATGGAGAACAGGGAGGAAAAACAGAGAGGAGAAGAGAGCTGAATTTTGGGAGTTTGCCAACTTTGGATCCCTGGTGGAAAGTTTGCATGATTTCTAAATCACACTTTTAAAAAATGTGCTACCCTTTTCTAGGTTGGAGTGCATTTCTTTCCTAACTCCAAGGGGGATTTGTCTATTACATTGCATTTCCAAGATGCAAAGTGTCTGTCAAAGTGTCTAAATAACTTTCCCCAAATATAGACTAGGAACTTCAGAAAGAGGCACAGGGTGACCAGTCAGTGCTTCCTGCCTTCTTCTCTGGTTACCGTTAAGTATGAAGTCACAAAGAAAGACTGCTCATCCATGTTGCCATTGTACTGTCTGGGACAGGAGGTTGA